AGTTGTTCCAGGAAAGCCTGGTGGAACAAATTTATTACAGAGAACCCTGTATCATAACCCCGTGAAAAGGATTCTATGTATTTGCCATGAAATGGCCACATCATCCAATAAGTCATGAGATGCCAGACCCTGAGAGGCGCTGTGCTAGCAGCTGGCAACCACAGAGGAACCCAATAATTGTGAGGCTAAATTCACACTGGAATTGGGTTCTCTCTAAAAACCTCACCCCAGTTTTAGAATGTGAATCATAAAGTGAGGCTTAGAATCACCACAAATGAGTAGTGACTCAATATCAGCCGCAGGGATTGACCGGGAGACACTGAAACTTTCATTGAAGTCTCTAGGTTGCCATTTCAGAGAGAGGCTTCTTTCTCAGCATCCCTTACACACTAAGTTCAGGTGTGGAGATGCAGTTGGCTGATGAGCATCACAGAAATGGATTTGTTTTCTCTCAATCCTCTTACATGCATTCATGGGGCCTGGGTCCCCGGAAATGCATCAGGCATGCTTGATAGTGATCCTCAAGTAGTCTGTAATCTAGCTGGGGACATGAAAATACACAGAAGAGCCAATACAACAAACCTGGGAATAACTGTCTTCTGAAGGGTACACCAGAAATGCTGTTTAGCTACAGAGAGATCTGCAAGGGCTGGAACCGTAAGGGACTGGGCAGGTTTCTGGGATCTGAAGGACATCCTTGGTTCTGGGCCACTGGGAAGGAAGAATAAGGACATCCTTGGGACAGACGATCAGCACCAGGGAAGACTAAAAATCAGACCTTTGTGGGGCTTGTTTCTGAGCTAGTGAATAGTTCAGTCTGACGGAAGCTGGGGCATCTACTGGGGCAATGTGGGGAGAGAGGGGTGGTGGCCTTCACCGCTGAGAAGAAGAGTTCAGTGGGAATGGGAAGCTGCTGAAGGTTTAAGAGTGGAGAGGGGGGAAGTGTGCCTAGGGGAGCTTCATTTTCCTCCAGCTCTGCTGAGCAGGAGCTTGGTGATGGAAGCTATCGGCCAGAACAGGCCCTCAGTGTGTCCCAAAAGTCAGGGGTCAGCATCATCAGGAACAGGTACTGGGTGCTCTGTGCTGAGCCCATTCTAGAGCCTGAGGGTTCAAGGAAGAATAAGACAGCATCACTGGCCTCAAGTAGCTTACAGCAGATTGCAGGGAGGTATGACAGCAACATGGAACAATACCACAGTGGGCTCTCTAACCTGTTGTGACAGGTTATGCATCAAAACCATCACAGCAAGGGAGTAAGGGCTTTAAAAGATTACTGTAGGCTTGGGCAGTTAGTGGTCATGAACTACACCTTAAACTGGAAGGGAGTGCTCTAAGTAACAGAGTGGAGAGGCAAAGGCATCGTTAAAAAGGGAAGCAGGAACGGCACGTCTAGCTGAGAGTTACATTCTATTTATCCTAAGCAGGTGGGAATGGTATTGAATGCACTAGAAAAAAAGGGATTGGAACGGTGACAGCTCTAAATTTCACAATGAGTTTGAACTCTTGAAACTACCCTTCCCACTCCTATTGCCAATACCTCAGTTCAGCCCCTCACTGTCTCTCTCATTCACAGTATTACTAGCCTATCTATCTCCCTGCCTTTAGCGTCATCCCTTCCAACCTATTACTCAACCTACTGTGCCAGGGTTGTCTTCTTAAAACCTAAAAATGCCCATGCCACAGCTCTACTTAAAAACTCTTCCACGGCTCCTCACAGCCATAGACTCTTTCCCCCTCTTTTAGTCAGAGTCA